ACTCCGGATATACATTATCAGTCTTCACTCATTTCTCCCAAGAATACTGCCTTGCCACAATGAGGCAGCAAAGCAGTGTGTGTGTGTGTCTGTGTGTGTGTGCTTGTGCGTGTGTGCACTTGCGCATATACACATGCATGCATGCATTTATGCTTGCTTGCTGTCCTTAGTACTTCCTCATTCCTCCCTTCCTTCCTTCCTTCCTTCCTTCCTTCCTTCCTTCCTTCCTTCCTTCCTTCCTTCCTTCCTTCCTTCCTTCCTTCCTCCCTCCCTCCCTCCCTCCCTTCCTTCCTTCCTTCCTTCCTGTATTTATTTGTATCTTCATTTATTGTTGTTACAAATAACTCAAGTTATGAACATATCCAACACACCTTCCTCCTCCCATTTTCTCCACAACAACCACTTTGAGGTGAGTTTAGCTGAGAGAGAGTGATTGGCCCAAAGTCACCCAGCTGGCTTTCATGGCTAAGGCAGATCTTGAACTCATCACAGTCTTCCATTTTCTAACCTGATGCCTTAACCACTAGACCAAACTGATTCTCTCTGTTACAGTAGCTATATTTCTATTGAACCTGGAATAAGAATGTGGTAAGCATTTATCTGGAAGAGGGAAACTATAAGAAACTATTTTCTAATCACTGGGATAAATTCTACCAATTGATCCTTTATTTCTTTTTTAGTCAAAGTCTAGCTTGAAAGAGTGACCTGGCATGCAAAGAAATAATACTTAAATAGCCAGAAGCAAAATTAAAATTCAGAAATAAGCTTTATGATCCAAATAAAGCAAATTAATAAGCTTTATTTAGATAGAGGAACAAGGAACCCCAAGAAAGGTAACAGTCAAAAACAAATAAAATAGTTTACTTATTAAAATTACTTTAAAAATGATTTTGAGAAATTTCAGAATGTAAACACAAGATGTAAAGATGACTCGAGACATTGCAAGATGAAAAACAGGTGATATACGAGAAATTCCTTTGAGGCACATGAGAAAGGGAAAATAATATGTTAATGGGGCATTGCAGTGACAAAATGATAAGCTTCTTAGACAATTGGGAAATCAGGATTTAATTTTGAGCTAATCCAGCATAACAGAAGTGAGACCTTGGCAATAGTAGCTCGTTCTTAGCTGCCATTTTGGATTCTCTGCCTGCAATATTTAGAGTTTGTACTGTTTATCACCATAAGGAATCAAAAGAGAGCCCTATTCTGCTTTACAGCTGGAAGCTGGAAGAAGTAGCAATTTTTGAGGAGAGAACTATTGGGCCAAAAAGGTAGGGTCTACCTAATTTCCTATCATCTCTTACCCCATACATTCACCTTTCCCATTTATTTTTTAACTTAGCCAAAATTCCTAGCTATGTGTGGCTATTCCTGCAGTGGAGCTAAGCAGTGAAAAATTCTCGATATATATTTCATTTTTAAAAGTCTAGCACAGTGGTGGCGAACCTATGGCACGGGTGCCAGAGGTGGCACTCAGAGCCCTCTCTGTGGGCACGCGCACCATCATCCCAGTCCTAGGCCTTCAGCTGGATTTTATAAAACCTTTTCGCTTTAGGCCGCCACCGCTGTGTGCAAAAAAAAAAAAAAAAAAGTTCAATCAGTCAATTTCAACTTCTCGCAGGAAAAAAAAGATCTTGCAAAGTTGGAATTGATTGATTGAATTTTTTAGTCCCACCCAGTCTGCCGTTATCACCGCAGCCACGCCCACCCAATGGGCCATGCCCACCCAATGGGCCACACCCAGCCAATGGGCCACACCCACCCAGCACTTGACGATGCATAAGTGGGTTTTGGGTTGCAGTTTGGGCACTCAGTCTCTAAAAGGTTCGCCATCACTGGTCTAGCACAAGGTCAGTGGTTTCCAAATCTGGATAGAAGTGTTTTTTTTTCTTTGAGTGAGACATATGAATCGTTTACCCGATCACAATAAGAACATTTAAATCAAAGTTCTTTACCTTTACTGGGTAAAATGATTTTCTGATAAGCAGTTTGGAGTAATGAAGGAAAAAGTTTGTTTAATAAAAACATGTTCTTTTTGTAAAAGTGTTTCTTTTTGTTTTTTTCAAAATAAACTTTAAAGATCTTTCCAGATTTGTCTTCTGAATCAAGTTGCTATGGTGTTATTGTCTTTGTTTGGTTAATGCTGTGCTTAGTTTCCATGGAAATATTTATTTACCGAGCTAGATCTGACGAGATGCTGTTAGCAGATCTGAACTATTTTTAATCAATAAAAATGTTGAATAAGATAGATGCCAAAACAACATTAAATGAATTTTGTCTACCACATACTTTTTACATTTAAAATATTAGGTCATTGGATCTTCTTATGATAATTTAGATTATCTAGGATCTAATCATCTACACTATTGATGCTCTACTCAAATTTTACATCTTGTAGGTTCTGAAGGTAGGCACATATATCCATTATTCTATTGTACTGCATTAAAATTGTGTAACTATCCATTTGAAGCGGCAATCCTGTAGATTCTTATATGGAATTTACATATACATGACTGCAGTATAAATCTCTGACCTGTCTAAATGCAAATCCTGGGGAATAATCATATTCATTGCATTTAATTAATGTTATTTGATTAAAATTAAATTGTCTTTCAGGTCTGGCTCAACAAACATTATGGAATACCGCCCCCTAGTATGCAATTAATGTCCAAAATTCAAAACCTAGCATCATTTGGAAAAATTGCTATAAACTAATCTGATGTTTTGCCTGAAATTAGTTAATATTTGTTACTGTTAAATTTGCTAATGATACTCCCATCTCTATTGTCTGACAGATAAGCATAACCTCAAAATATGCAGTTTACTAATAGACAGTCCAATCAAAACAATGCTAATCAGTTCATTGATCACAGATCAGATCAAAATGGAGAGCAACTGAATGACAGAACATGAAAATTGGGTGGAACATAAGATTTAATCCATGAGCTGAATCTATCTCTGATATGCCCGATGTGGCTAGATGACATCATTGTCATAGGTCCTAAAACTCAGTCACACCTCCCCAAGAGAATCTACAGTTCTTGAAAGAACCACTTCAAGCAATAAAGGTGCTTGACATCACTCTTTCCGTAACATAGTTGGGCTTGCAGATGCCTCATCCAGAGAATCTATAAGCAAAGCTCCTGTGATCTCAACTACCTTATGTCTTTCTACTTCAGAAATGTCATAGAGCAGCTGAGATGACCATTCTGCAGACACTTGAGGCTCTTGCTGCAGGCAGAAAGATCAGGTGGGTTTGTGGACAAAGTTTCACTCAAGATCTCATGAAATGGAGCAGCATGGTCAATTCTGAAATGGCTGGGATTGTAGTTCTGTTGCAGTTGCACATTTTGTTATGTCTTACCCACTAGTATTATCATCACCTCCTAAGCCATGTGAATTTGCTCTTTATCCATCTATCTTAGATGTTCTTTCTGGAACTTGGTTTCCTTTTAGTCATTTATCTTCTGTTGTGGAATATAGATAGCATCTTGTTCACTCAGTCATCAGATGTCCTGACAGGAGAACCATGTGCCTTTTGAAGTTATTCTCATTTTCTTAACTTTCAGAAAGACAAAGACAAACATCTCCAACATCCTGTATAGTTCTTTTCCGAGCAGATGCTCTTTACATTTTACCAGTTTTGAATGCAGAAGTAATTTAAAACTGCTCCATTTTCTTTAAGTAAATGCCAGCAATTTTGTAGCCTCACATTCAAACGAGACCCATCTCTTTTGTACTAACAAAATACAGTAATATCACGTCATTACCACTGAGTACTCTTTGATATTTATTGATTTGATGTATAGCTGTTTCTTCAGGAATTCATGGTAGCTGACCTAGGAATCTGCCTTTATTTTATCTTTATCAGAACAACCCTGTAAGATAGGCTGAATTGAAACAGCTAAGCTATCCAATTTCCATGGCTTGTTCATGATTCTTGTTCATGACAAGAGTCATGAACCTAGATTAAATAATAATTTCCCTGAGAATTATGTTTTGAGCACCACCTTGTGGAAGTTTGTAACATTTGAAAAGAATATCTTTGTCCACATCCAGAATCACAGAATGAAGCTCAAAGATTCACTAGTTCAACTTCTAGCTGTTGCAGGAAATTCAGAATTGTAGCGCCTCTAAAAAAATAACAATCCAGCTTTTCAATGAAAATTCCTCCCCCTCATGTCATCTTCCATTCTTTGATGTTCTGTCTCCTAAAATGTAAATTAGATTCTTTATGGTTGTTTTAATATGGTTTAAGGCAGGGGTCTTCAAACCTGGCCACTTAAGACCAGTTTGATCATGCTGGCTGAGGAATTCTGGGAGTTGAAGTCCACAACTCTTAAAGCGGCCACGTTTGGAGACCCCTGGTTTAAGACCTACAGTTCTAAAAAAAATCCTTCACAGTATATGTATTAAAGAAATTTATACAACTGCCCATCTAGCACAGGCAGCTAACAAAATAAAAACATAGTGCACTAAAGTGATCTTTAAAAAATAAACAAGGTTGAAGACCCAACACACTCTTATTTATCCAACAATCCTATGCCAGTTCCAGGTTTTTCTGCTTTCTTGAAGGCCCAAGAGGGTCGGGGCTATCATATCTCTGGAGGGGGGCTTCTTCTTAAGGCTGGTGCTATGACAGACACCATAGCAGGTGACATTGTTTTGGTGAGGGGTCCTGGAACATGCCCACTTGTCCAGTTCTAGTGGGAAAATGACTATCAAATCACTCCTCAATCCTTTCTTCTGCAGGCAAAAGTTATCTATTTCCAATTTCTCTTTATTTGATTGATTTCTAGGCCTCTTATCGATGTAGTCTCCCTTCTCTGCATACATTCTAATTTCTCAGCATGTTTTTTAAATTGCAGTGCCCAGAATCTAAACTCATATTTCAGGTGCTATTGACTAAAGCAGGACCATTATGTCCTATAACCTGATGGCTGTATCTGATGGTCTGCTTGCACAATCTGACTGAGGCCTTACTCGCTATTAACGAGATGGCAACTGTGGGCCTTGGATTGGATTGGATTGGATTGCACCCAGGTGACCTCTCCCTTCCCATGGATCTCATCACTTCCATGGTTAATGCTGAAGGAGAGGATACATGAGAAGAATGTCTGTGGAGATTCTCAGTCATTCAGGTCATGGTTGTCCCAAAGGTGCTTTTTCAAGAGGAAACTGGACTTTCTTGTTTTTCTTTGAAGATGTTTTGCTTCTCATCCAAGAAGCTTCTTCAGCTCTGACAGGATGGTGGGGAATGGAAGGATTTATATTCCTGCACCTTTGGGACATACATGAGAAGAGACATCTAAAGCAGAAGTCCCCAACCTTTTGGGCACTAGGGACTGGTTCCATGGAGAGAGGTTTTTCCACAGATGAGAGGGTGTGCGGTTTTGTGTGCTGCCTTCAACTCATGGATGGGGCTTTGTTTGTGTGGCCCAGTTGCTGGTATGCCACAGACCGGTACTGGTCCACGGACCAAGGGTTGGGGACCCCTGATCTAGAGTGTTATTTGGGGTCAGCAAAGGATGAGTTTGATCAAACACAGGCTATGGGATAAAATCAAGAGAAGAACTTTGCGCAGAGGGATATAGTTTCTAATGTTTTCTTATTTACAGCTATTAGAAAATCTTAAAGTAGACAAAAGAGTTTATGCTTGTGAATACTGCAAGACTAAGTTTGAAAATTATGTATAAATGATGAACATGTGATTGCTAAAATATATAAACTTCTATTGAAATTTCAAAAATGAGAACATGTGAATGAATGATAAAGTGACAGCTATCTCTATGCAAATAAAGTTCATCTGCCTATCTCATTGTCTCTAATTTATTTCTGAAATGAAAAACAATATTCTGGTGGTGTGGATCCTGCTAAATTTCTATACTCTAAATAGCTTGGATTAAATGCTGTAGATCGTTTTTTATACTTTTTATTTTGAATGTGTTACTCTTGTAAATTGTATTTTTTATGGTTTTAATGACTTTTATTTTGAATTATTTTAATTATTGGTCTTATCTGATATTTGTTATTTTTTGTATTGTTTTTTGTATTTTCCCTTTTTGACCTGCCCAGAGTCACATATGGGCAGCTATATAAATTGAACAAATAAATAGTTTTTAATGAATATATTGAAAAAGTATTTACAGGAAAGAAATTTGTCAAATACAAAATTGTTTAAATTAGTTTTTAAACTAATTATTTTCTAGGAACCTCCATTATCTTCACTTTTTATTTGTTGAAGTGAAGTGCAGGAGCTAAATGCGGCAAATACAGATGATTTATAGAAGTATTTTTTTATTTATAATTCATGACTTGAAGAGTTGAATGTTGCCAAATTTGGATAGTTTGCTTATAACTTCCTGTTTTTTGATTTTACAGATGATTCTTTGGGACTGGGATTTAAAACAATGCTATAAACTTCATCATCAGGTCAGTACATGTAAAATATAAAAATAATTCTAGCAGGAAAAAAATACCAAATTAATATTTGCCCTGTAAATAAAAATGTGCATCAAATAATGTAGATTCTTTCTCAGGAAATCTGGGGAAATTTTGTATAGGCAATCATTCTCTTTTGTCATGAATAGTTTGAAGCACAGGCAACTTCACCAAAACTTCCATAACACAAAAATATATTCTACCTATTTATATTCATAATATATTCATCCAGCCCCTTCTTAAAATTGAAATGATTGTTGTCACACTTCATACATGGGGTCCATTAGGGAGAGCACCAAACCTCTAGCATTCAGCAGTCATTAGGAGTTGTTTCAGCTTTATTTAGTTTCTCCATTATATTTTCTGATTGACTTGGGCATTGCCTCACAATTGACATATTCATTGGGACTAGGATAATCACCTTTGATTCCCCAGGGTGACAGATTTACAACCCTCAACATATCATCCTTCTACCTGACCTGACAAATATGGAACAGTCCTGTGTAATAACCTGTTCCTGAGAGCTGAATGGTCACTTCCTTGATGGCTTTCCAGAAGTTACGATATTTCTTACTCTATGACTCTTCTCCTACTTCTGTTTTGTGCATGGAAAATTTCAGGATAACTCTGAAAAATGAGAATTGTGCCTCAGGAAATGTGATGCAGAATAACTGATACACTTCAGTATAACTTGTATAATATTCATATTATTTAGCAACAAATGCTTGCTTCTGTATCGTTGTAAGCTGTTTCATTTTCTAATGTTTAAAAAATGCACTTCTCTTAGAATGCCACAACGTTCCAGTTAAATACAGTTGAAAATAAAGATTTAAAAACATCTGGCAGTATTGGGCCAAAAATGTATACTATTCTCACTTTGATTTAAAAAGCTTAGAAATAACACAGTTTTATTTACGCAGGCTGCAGATATTTTTCCCAAATCTATATAAATAAAAATGTAAATGTTTGTTTGTTCAAAATCTTAAATCTCCGAAAGTTCTTCACCGATTGCTTTGAAATTTTGACACAATGTTGCATTCGAATACGCCCGTGTTTTTATATACCTACTATTATATACTATAGATGTCACACCTGTGACAGGTAAAAACATGTTTTTTTTAAAAAACAGCGCCATCTGTTGGCTGAGTGAACGAGAGCCACAGCACTGCGTGGCCGGGTACAGCTAGTTGTAAATAAGGAGCAAAAACTTCAAATATTTTATATTATCTTAATATTACAGTGTATTTCCACAAAATTTACTTGTTAAAATATATTATGTATCATGTTGTATGTACCTTTACAGAATATCTGAGATGTATTTCCTATTTGTATAAAAAAAATTTGTACAAGATAAAAGCTTCTGTTACTAATAGCCAATATTATTTTTCTTTATTATAGAATGCATGCAGTGGAACTGAAGTTGATCTTTCTGTACTAAATCAGACTCGGAACATGGTGTCTGATCTTCTGTCTGATCCAGTTGTTCCTCCACATGTGATTTCTTCTCTTCAAAGCATCGATAACTTGCTAAGTGCTTTCTCAGGTTCATGCAGGCCAAAGATAAACCTGTTAACTCCCTTTCCGGGGTTTTATTCCTGTCCAGAAATGGAAGACTCACCTGAAAGAGGAGACTGTAAGCTGCACAAGGTTAAAATATTATCATCGTAATCAATATGTAGCATGTACATAACATATTTAAATACTTTCCGAATGTAATAAAGAACTTGGTGCTTAATTTCTCTTCTGCTTTTCCCTTAACTTTCACATTATTTAAACAGAATTTAATTCAATAATGAGGAAAAAGGGTTGCAACAGCAAATTGTTTACTTATACTGTTCATCACTTATCTTGTTTAATATCTTTCTCCTTTAAAGAATGGAAACTGTCATTAGACATTAGTAACAGGATATTAAAAGAGACTAGATTGACACCCTGGAAGAAGCAGAAATATTGGAAGAAAATATTATCAAAAACTGCAAATAGGCTACTTGAATAGGAACTCTTAATTTTCATAAACACAAATAATAAAAATATGTCAGGAGGAGCTAATAGGAAAAGGAGCTCCTGTTATGTGCTTAAACAGTTATACTGAAAGAACAATTATGAACAATTTGAAGGAAAAAAATGACTGCAGAAGAAGCCAGTGTGGCTGTACAGAAATAAAAAATAAAAAAAAATAAAAGGATGCATCTAAATGGAAAAAATGGCAGGTGATGGAAGAAAAGTAAATTGGCCGCTTTAGAGTTTCAGAAGGATGAAGCTCAGAATGAGTCCATCAAGGAATGTTTAAAAAAACAGCAATATAAACTTCTTCAGAATTTTTTAAATAAACAGAAGATAAATTAAACCTATTGCTTAATGAAAATAACAAAAGGCTTATAGGTAATGAAAAGCAGAATTGCTTAATTGTACATAGAGCACTGATGATGTTACTTAGTTCGGGTAATGAAATGTCTACAAGAAAGCAAGCAAGCTCAGAAAGCACCAAGGACCCTTCATGTCAACCCTGAACTACTAATATTCTCCTTTATTAGAATTGCTTAACTCCTATTTTGGCACTGACTTCTTTAGGAAGAGGATATGTATCTCACCAACCAATTATAGGACTAGGGTAAAAGGGTAGGATTGAAGGATGAGAACGAGAATGATAGAAGTATGGTCAAGAAACATACATTGAGGCTAAGTCTCTAGTCTGAATCAACCATATCTTATGATGCTGAAGGAATTTGCTGATGTTCAACATTTCATATATTGCACTGGAAATTCCTGGAGAAAGAATGAAGAATCAGGCAAAACTGAGGAGGGCAAATTTTGTCCCATTTTCCAAGGAAAAGGAAAAGATCCAGTTAATCAGTCTGATACTGATACCTATGAAAATTCTAATCACAATGAAAATAATGCATTGATTACCAGAAGTCAATATGATTTCTCAAGAATATGTCTCAACTGAGCTACAGTTATCTCACTTTGGGAGCCCTTGATGCTTTAAAGGGAATATTGTAGACCTACAGTAAAATATCTTAAGTTCAGCAAAGCATTTGACAAAATAGGATATGATGTTCAAATAAGGAAGCTAATTAAGTATGGATTGGATGACATGCCAGTTAAATGGATATTTAACTGGCTTGCAAACCATACTCAAATGGTCTTCATCCCTGGTTCCTTATCAAATGGAAGAGAATAAATGACTGGATATTAAAGAGTTTGGGCTGGACACTTTAATCATTTCTACTAAAAACTTGGATAAGAAGATGGAGGGAATGGTTGTATTGCAAACAACTGATAAGATGGCTAATATTCTATAATTCAGAAATAAAATTCAAAGTGATCTTAGTAAAGTAGCCAAATGGACTGAAAATCAAGTAATAAAATTGAGACAAATTAGAAATATTTTACTTTGGACATTAATGTTGAGTGCAAGGAATAGGGATTATCTGTTTTGGTAATTATAAATTGAAGAAAACCTTGGAATAATTTATTACAAACTGAGTATGTTATCAGCATGATGTGGCTGCAAAAGAAGCTGGTACTGTTTAGGCTGCATCAAAAGAAGCCAAATCATAGGAAGTAACCATTTCACTTTTATTCTGCATTGATCAAACCTCACACTGAATATTTCATCTAATTCTGAGCACCACATTTAAGATTTTGAAAAACTGGGACAGATTTAAGGAAATACGGAATAATCAAGGCACTAGAAATTAAGGAAAGGGTAAGAAAACAGACTGCCTTTTTAAAAGAGATTACTTGGGTACAATTTCATCTTTCAAGTAGTTGAAAGGATGTTACAGATAAAAACGTTACAATCTATTTTTTACCTGGAGGGCAGGTCACAGAATAGCATAGTTAAAAGTAGACAGGTATCATTTGAAAATTAGGAAAACATTTCCTAAGCGAAAGCAGTTCAGTTCAGCCATGGAACCAGTTATGGAAAGAAGAATTTAAGCAATGACTGGATAGCATGGATCCTTTAATTTGGATCCCTGCATGGAGCAGAAGGTTGGCCTACATTGCACCTATTAAAAGAATATAAGTACATGTGTAGCCAAGTAACTGTCCATATATATAAACGTATCTCTTTGCCGACTGCCCAAAAATCTTGTGTTCAAAGTTCTTCTGTCTCCTCATCTTCCTTTCAGACGAGAAAACTGCAGTGCTATCTAGCAGTTTTCATCTATATTTTTCTACTTGCCTCCTAATTTTGAGTTCTTATCTCTTCTGCTCGTGGCTACCTAAGCTTCTTACTTTCAAATTATTGCCTATTTTATTACATTTCTATTAACCATGAACCAGCTTTTTCTTTCCCTACTAGCATTCTTTCTTTCCTATCATATATTATCTCATTAGCAGTATACAACTGCTTTCAATCAACACCTCAGCTGACCTGCTCCTTGGGTTTTTTTTCAGTCCTTTTCACCTAAACTTTTCTCTCTCTCTGTTTGTCTGTTTTGCTTCAGTCTCTGTGCTTCTGATTCATGTAATTTCCCTGTTTGACCTTTAAATTGCAGTCAAGCTGGTAACTTTCCACTCTTAACTAAAGTCTTAGTTTAAATTTAAACTGCCTAAGAAATGAACTTTCTGTTACCATAGCAGACCTTCCAGTCAATGTTGGAGATGCTGTTGCCTCAAATACAATATGAATACATTTACAGTATATAAATGCAATCCTCTGTGGCATTTATGGCAGAAAAGTAAATGGATAAAGAGAATTGATAATATGGTAGTCAAACTTTTTAAAGATCAAAGTTGTTTAAAGTTTAATTACTTTAGCTAGCTGATTTAAGTTAAATGATGCTAATATATATTTGTGTACTGCTGAGAACAACAAAGCATGATTTAAAATGGATATTTTGTGGGGGGGAAAGTATAATTTTTCTTAACTTGTTCTTAACTAGGTACTGAGCAGCCGAAATAGCTTACCAACACCACAATTAAGGCGAAGTTTAGGAAGCTTGCTGCCCATTGATCCAACTTCTAGATGGGAACGTAATAATGGCAAAAGGTCACACCATGAGTATAATCTTTCAAGGTTAGAATATTACCAATATAGATTTCACAATATTTTTTTTACCTACAGTAGAAAATATTCAGACATATATATTGAATTGAATCAATATTGTACAATATGGTTCTCGAATTCTGTCAAAAGTGTAAAATATATGCAATTAAATGCATTACTTCATTCATCCAAGCTGTTTAAAGTATGGTGTTTTAGGAAGCAATTAACAGCAAACACTAATTCTGAGCATCAAAAGTTAAGACATGAAATTGCAACTAAAGATAAGTCATTTCTGTATAATAATTATTTATTGGATAGTGAAATAAAAAATAGGAATCTAGCACTACTTGAAGCATTTAGTTAGTTTCTATCATTCTAGTTTAGGTGATAATTCTTAGAAATAATATAAAAGGAGTGAATGCCATTAGCTTGCCTACAATCTATTTTGCTCTTGTGAGAAGAACCAGTAAATTTTAAGTGTCCTAGATGAATTAAATTTATCAATAAATTAATTCTTAGGTTTTTAAAAAAAAATTCCCTGTAACTATAACTTAGGATGTTAAAGCTAATGCATAAGAAGAACTACCAGTTACTAGAATACTAGAATACAAAAACTTTCAGAACAGAACTGCAGAAATCCAGATGACCACCAGATGGCAGAAAATAATTAAATATTTGCTGCTAGCTAATAATCATCTAGATTTTTGCTGCCCAGATCTGATAACCTAAAAATGACATTATTGAAAAGTATCACAAATAACAATTTCTCACTAAGCTTGAGAATCATCTTTTGTTGATTTATAAGTTATACTTGTATACTTAGACCTCCAATTTGGTTGCTAGTTCTTTTGTGTAAACTGAAAAATAAAAGTTAACTAAAAGTCAGAGAGAATGAGTTTTAGAAACGCAGCTTCTAGTACAGAGGTCAAGAAATTGTGATGGAGAGCTCTCCTCCTGGACAGGGCAAGAAACATTTAAGCAAATGTTTGAAAGAAACAGTGAGAACATACACATAAGCAATAAAGAATGATCAATATATTAGCCGTAAAAATCTAATTAATTTATCAGTCACGAAAGAAGTAGAGGATATGGAAGCCAAAATGCACAGGCAGGAGAAAATCTATTGACAAATTTTCCACAAATATATTAAATATATACAATTATGGGTGCAAGAATAGCTACTGAATCATATTGATTGGTTCACATAAACAAGATTCAGATTTCACTCAACCCTAAATTATTAATTTGATTTGTATTATATTTAACACAATTATATATATGATTCAATAAGTTTTTTTTTCCCAAATAGACAAATGACTCAAAGGATTAACAGATGTAGCTAAAGTTATACAATTTTATATGCATCTAAAAATATATAAAATACGTTGAAAGTTGCCTATCTAGACAACAAAACATCACAGTTTAAATTTTTTTGAGTTCTTAGCATATCTAGATGCTTTCCTATTTCAGATTTCAAACAGCAGATGGCATAGTTTTACAACATAGTTGCTAGTTTCTAGTTCATTTTTTAAAGTGAAAATTATATAATATAAATGTTTTCTTAAATCTTAAGTATTCTTTTTGAATAGCACCCCAAGATAGATTTGATAAAAAAAATACATGCTTAGTATGCATTAGGATTAAATTGGCAATTACAGAGTTACACATTAATGTTATAAGAAATAGAATGCATTAGTTAATGGGCACAGAGTTGCACAGTGGACAAGTTAATAAATAAAAGAGTGTACTGATAAAACTCTCCAGAAATATTTTACTCTACATTCCATTTCCTAGTTAAGCACATTGTCTGGAGAGCATTTCAAATTTGGACTATTTAAACAATTGTTTAAATATATTAATGCAATACATATTAGCAGTTCAGGATTTCTAAATTGCTCGTGTATATTTCTCATATAAAATTAGCTACAGCTAAAAACTTTTTCTTTCAGGATTACATGAGTTAAGGCAACAAGAACAGAAATGCAATTTCTATCCACTTTTCTTCAGTCATTATTCACCCCAAAATTACTGCATTGTTAATAAACGACAGCAAAAGATAAATAATTATTGTGCAAAGTTGCAATCATTACTTTCAATCAATTATATTATAACTTTCTTAAATAATTAATATATAGTCACTGCCCAGAGCCTCTCTCACCACCCAGAGATCCCCTGAGGGAAATGGGCAGTTTAGAAATAGGAAAAATGAATAAATGTGTTCTGTAATCTTATTGATAAGGGGAAAAAAAGATGTCTTACTTGAGTTTTTAGGGTGATGTCTCCTCCTGAGCAATGTACTTAGAATTAAGAAAAGTGCTGTACAGATGGTCTTCATTTAGCGACTGTTTTTGTTTAGTGACTCTTTGTAGTTATGACAATGATGAAAAAGAAATTTTTACAGCTAATCCTTGCATTTACAACCTTTGCAGGTCAGTAAAGCAAAGGAAAGCTGAAATAAAATCATAAGCATAGTCATAGTTTCACTTTTGTTTGCTTAATGATCAAGTTACTGGTCCCGAATGTGGTCACTAAACAAGGATTTCCTGCAAATATTTGAGGTGATGATCCTCTGTTTCTTTTAAATTACTTTGTGCATTGTAAATTCTATGTTCGCTTTGTAGATAAGGCATTGCAATATTAAAAAAAGTAGCACAGACTGAAAGAGTGTGACCAAGTGGATCCTTGCTTTTAAATTCCCTCAATAGGGCCTGTGTCTTCAGTATGTGGTTACCTTTTATTAGCTATTGATAATAATACATAATTGCTAGGGAGCATGAAAAATATTTTCTCTTGTACCTACGTCCTATGTTTGGGCTTCTCGCAAGAGATTGCTGGAGTAATTAAGTCTATGGTCTGATACAGTGCAACTCTTTTTATTATGTTTCTAAAATATGTTTCTATGCTATTTTATAGCACTTAGCTGCAATCCTGTGTGTTTAACCTTTACTATATCTGTTAGTATATAATTATGTATCTATGCCTGGAGAATAAGATACACATAATAATTATTACAACTGCTGTGTTGTTCTGATGGCTTGCATGAAAATGGCAGTAATAAGCAGGAAAAATAACTATCCCCAAAAGACCACACCTGCGCCTTATCATGGAATATTTTAGAATGGCAGTCAAAATCAAAACATTATTTCTTTTTAAAATAGTTTTCAAAATTTGATGTTCTTGTACTATAGTACAAATGAATTACAACTGAATTAGAGTAAAGTAGGTTTTATATTAAGTCAGTTTGTCCCAGTCAGGTGAGAGACCCAAGGGTGAATTGGTAAATTCTCCTGTCTTCCTTAGAGTGTCAGGCAGTTACAATACTGCCATATTTTGTAAGAATAATTTAATTTGTACACACCTCTAAATAGGTCCCAAATAAGGTCACATTGAAAAACATATCAAACAAGTATGCCAAAAAATCAATTTATATTAATTGGTGGGGTTTAAATGCTAGTATGGGTGATAATGATCATACTTTCTACTCACAATTGTAATGTTAATATCTGGATGAATGCCTAGTGGAGCCTCTCCATCCAAGTTTATCAAAGGACTAATGAGATTTTATCTGAGACAGTTGACAGCGGGCCTCTGCATTTTAAAAGTTGTGTTATTTGGCAACTAATAGCTAAATTGAGAATAGAGAGAAGGTCAGTTGGTGATTATTGGATCACTTCTCCCAAAATTTCTACTGTATCTTTTAAAATTAGAAGTGGTAGCACATCTAGAGAGTTTCCATCATCCTCTTACATTAGCTACAATAATGTATAATGGAGTGATGGAAACCGAGGCAAGGCATGCACAGAATTTAGGAGTCATTAACACCAAAATGTGATTAAGGTGGAATGAAAGAAATATTAATGCTATAACTCAAATGACTCAAAAGTCTCAAGATGTTTTAGAAGTTACTAAGGTTTAACTATCTATTGCCCACAGGACTGCCACATAGATTTGTACAATAATGAGCACATTTTATTTTATGTAGCATTAGATAAGAGCCCTGGTGGTGCAGTGGTTAGAATGCAGCACTGCGTGCTCACTCTGTCCACAGTCTAGAGTTCAACCCTGACGTGCTTAAGGTTGATTTGAAACAATGTCTTATTTTGCATTTGTATGGAGACATATACAAACATAGCTTACTCCTGCTTCATCAGTAAGAACAATTATATAAATTTCATGTCTGTATGAGCTTTACTCTTTTCAGACTGCAAAGCCTATGTAGCCAAAATTATAGCAAAATACCATGTAGCAGCAGTGAATGTGAGGCATCAACTAATATAAGATCTCCCATAGTCAGAACTTAGTTTATTAGCCAGCATGATGTCATTGTAGGAGAAAGACTGGTAGTGCCAGGGGGAGGAGTAAAAAGAGGGATCAGCCTTGAATCCTTACATACAACCTTACGTACAACTAGGCACTGACCATTAGTTGAGAAGATTCCTTTTAACAATACATCAGTTAATTTGAACTTTCCATATGTGGACCTGGTCTTTTGCACCTGAGAGTCATTCAGTGTTTTGTTTTGTTTTAGGGTTCTTATTACTACTTTACCATTTTACTACTATTTGTTTTATTTTACTGTCTTTTACTAGTATTCAATATTCCTGGCCTTTGGCTATAATCATTGATTGATATCTTACATTTAATTGCAATTTTAAAATGTACTTTCCTGTATTTTAGTTTGATTAAAATAAGAGGAGAAATATTTCTTTTTCTGTTTTTAAATTAGCCTAGGATCTTATCCAAATGGGCCTCTTCTTGGCACAAACCTGTTGACAATTCCGAAACAAAGATCATCTTCGGTGACCTCAGCAAACAATGCAGGTTCTAGACGAGCCGGTAAGAATGTAACAATTATTTATACGTTGTCTGTAGGGATGTCCATAGAATGATAGGGTTTTTTTTGAAAACAGTACATTTATGCAACTGAAATTATTATATTGCTTGGATTATTTTAAGTATATTGTAACTAAAATACTTTGTTGCTCAAGTGAAAAAAAATGCATCCTTTGCAAAATGATAAAAGATGTTTTTATTGTTCCGTTTGCTACCGAAGCTAAGGGTGAGTTGCTTATAGTGTAAGTAGCTAAAATAAGTATTGTTGACACAAAAGAGAAAGCATTTTCTATTTATTTATTTATTTGTTTGATTTCTATAGCTGCTACCTCTGGACAATATGCATTATCCGGTGTAAAAAAAAATATTAGAAATAATTTAAACAATACAAAATAAATATATGTGGCACCAAGTAAAACTGGTTCCTAATACAGACAGGAAACGGGACTCTTAATACACTCAGGGTCTTCTCGTGGCCTTGCAAAAGGCCAGCAGGGTCAAGGTCATGCTCATATTTGAAGGGAGAATATTCCAGATGGCGACGGTTATGTAAAGAAGGCATATTTTCTGGTTCCTACCAGTCAACAATGCTTGGCTGATGGGACCTGTAGGATGCCCACCTGCTGGATCGAATTGGAGGGATAGAAAATGACATCCCCCGAGCTATGAAGAACTTTAAAGGTGAAGCAGCTTCAATTACCCCCAGAAACACACTGGGAGCCCATGCAGCTCACAAAACAGTGGTGTTACGTGTGTGGCAGTAAATATTCCCCTGTCCTTTAATAAACATTGTGCCAATTTTGCCTAAGAGAAATATGTTATAGATTTTTTTTTTTATACATATGACCACAGTTGAATCCAAAATTTCCATGGCTAAGTGAGGCAGTTGTTGAGTTGTGTCTCATTTTATGATCTTTTTTTGCCACAGTTGTTGAATGAAGCACGGCAGTTGTTAAGTGGATCGTGCAGTCGTTAAGCAAATGTGGCTTTCCCCCACGACTTTGCTTATTTGAAGCTGGGTGGGAAGGTTACAAATAGTGACCACATGATTCTGGGATAATGCAATTGCCATAAATACTGCCAGTTGCCAAGCACCCGGATTTTGATCACATGACCATGGGGAGGCTGCAAAGGTTATAAGTGTGAAAATGGTCATAAATACTTGTGAATATTTACTAAGTAGTCCAAAGGCTGCTTTGCAGGCTGCAAATATTGCTGGCTGAAATTTTGTCAGCCTTTTAATATTTGAACAGTCTTTAAACCTCCAGTATAGTTCCAATTCCTCCCTCAGCCTTCTGGGACATTCTGAAAGGCTCTAGGACAAAGTGTGGAATCTCTTATATGAATCCAGAGGTGATCAAATGAAGAATTACATATAAGTAGCCAGGTACACTTCAAAAATTTCAGGTCCCGATTGTCTTCAGACAGAGATGATAACCAGTGCTGTAGGATACACATCACACTCACATTGTGTGCATTTGTGTGTGTGTGTGTGTGTGTGTGTGTGTGTGTGTGTGTGTATTTATACATATGTTTGGTGCTGGCTGTTATTAATAGAAACACAAGGATGAATTAACATGTGAAGCAAGTCTTCATTCTAACAATAATGTATAAGTAGACCTACTACTTTTTTTTTTTTTGCAAAAGAACTCAGTAGATCTGGGATAGTCTTGTGGAAAATTAAATTAATTAAATTAAATTAAATTAAAACTGGTTAACAAAGTTCACTAAATCAGTGTTTCTCAACCTTGACAATTTTAAGGCATGTGGACTTCAACTCCCAGAATTCCACAGCCAGCAATGCTGGCTGTGGAATTCTGGGAGTTGAAGTCCACATGCCTTAAAATTGTCAAGGTTGAGAAACACTGCACTAAATGAAACGTATAAATGCAGCAATCACAATGCATTGAAAATCAGTGTTTAAATCTAGCTAGCATCTTTTAATATTTATGTAGCTTATGGAGAGAATGCCTTTCTGAAAACAAAGATCTTGACTCAGTAGAAGTATACCAACTAGCCTCTTTAGACAAAAGAGTTCCAGATTTTACCTGCAACCCTGAGAACATCTGTTGAGCCAGTGTTATTCTTCTAACATTTTATTTCTTTGGTTTCTCCTCCATCTCCCCTTTAGGAATTTCTCAGAATTTAAGTCCTGGCACTTCACCCAATAACGGGCTTCTTTCCAGTGGGTACCACCGATCGCCTGTGGAGTTTCCTGATAAGGCTGATTTTCTTACTAAACCTAGTGTTAATGTACATAAATCTCTGGGAAGCCCATTCAATTTTTCAGATTGTCAACAACAATTTAGAACATCTTCGTGTTATACTTGCAATAGGTAATGATCTATTTTTGTTTAAACAATTAGCATATATAATATCTTTATTTAATAGTGGGTGTCATCTTAGGGTCCCCCCCACACTACTTTTTAAATTAAATAATAACTTGTTTGCTATGGTATGCAGTTACATTTTATACATTATTGGCTGCTTTTACCTGAATTTAGTAAGCTTTCTTTATTGATGATTCTTTGTGTTGGCATCAGCCTTTACTTTTTTATACATATCATTGTTCTCCTATATACAGTCTAAAAATATGTGAGACAGTATCTGAAAAATTATTTCTAAAAATATTTGGTCCTCTGTGCTCCCTTGAAGCTCTTTTCTTCTTGAGTGTAGCTATAATGATATTGGTGGATACTCAAACTGGAATTACAGCAGTGATATTCTTGCAGAGTTTTAATATTTTTTCATTGATACAATACTTAAGAAAAAATATATTCAGAAAAATGTGAATACAAATTAAAAATGACATTTTTGGATTTTTTTTTAAATCTTCCGTAAGTTGCAGACGACAAGTGCTCAACTCTGTCGCAAACTCATTATGTGAATCTGTAGCAGAATGTCAAAGCCAAAAATCAGGTAGGATTTTGGTCCATGTGAATATTTAACATACTTTGTTTCAGTAATAACTGCTTCTTTGAGAATATGAATTCATAAAAAACACTCCGGGTGACCCACATTTATAAATTTCAATCTCAGCTACCACTGTCCAGAATTGTGTGAAGTGGAAAACATGAGCAGAGTTCACTTGTATAGAAAATGGGAATTTAAAATGTTTTCCCCATCTTCCACTCCCCAAAGCACAGTAGTGAAAAGGTTGGTCTTGCCAACGCAGTGGGAGGTGATGCTAGAAGATGATTTATTTATTTATTTATTATTTATTAAATTTAGAAGGTCACTCAACTCCATTAAGAATCTGAGAGGTATACAGCATCAAACATAGTAACAACAAAAGAACCAAGAAAAGAACAATGTATGTCAAGAAAAAAAAATCATAGCGACAGATAAAATCCCACAAGGGCTTAATACCCATTGTGGGATTCAAATATGTAAACAGCCGGTTCTCTCTGTGGATGCCGCTTTCGGAAGTCCATTGTGGGCCTGGGCAACAAAAAATTAGGTACCAGTTCTGCCAAAGTAGTGCAAACCGGCTGAATCCCACCACCTATCCTAATTCAAGGCTTGGGAAAACAGCCAACCTTTCAGAAATTTCTTAAACGTCATCAGGGTGGGAGCCATATGGATCTAAAATACTTTTTTTTAAAATTAAGATATTTTAGTATTTATTTAAAACATTTGTATCCTCTGTTTTAAAAATCTTAGAGCAGTCTATAGTAATTCCAGTATTTTCAAATGCTAGTATGTTTTATAAAAGCCATATAATGGAATTCAGGTTAGGAAATCATATTTTTGAACAAATTTGCTTTAAATAAATTGCTAATATTATGTGCCCTTGTTTAAGGTGAAGATGGAAACAGCCAAGTTTCAAAAGATCTTGCAGAGAAACTGCAGAATGAAATAGAAGAAACAAAAAATCAAATGGATCAAACTAAGAATTTTCAGTCTGATGCAAGTATACTATTTCCAGAACACCTTAATAGTTTGGCCTCTGGTTTTAATAAGATGTTTGATATTTTATTGTAAAAACTTCTTCTATACTTTACCTATTTACAAAACTGTTATTATAATATTATTTATACTGAATTTTATTTTCTTTGGGTTTTGTTTGAATAGATCTTGAAGTTTTCAAAATATCAGAATAAAAAAAGATGCAGTAAATGTATACAAAACATATTAAAAACACATTTTACATATAATTCTGTGTATGATGATAACAGGTTCAAATTATTTTGCCTCCAGTTATAATTGCAGTACCATTCTAGTTCTCTGAGCATCTTAGATGGTTTATGCTGGTGTTGGTTCTTTACAGATCTTTATTGACTCCAAATGTTGAATTATAAGTGCTATTAACAAAAGAGCTCCACTTATAACTGTACCAGCTACTTCAGCAAAGCTGATTGAAATTTACAGTACATGCATGCATGCATGCATATATACATATTTATTTTAAATTGGGGGAAGAAAATACCTCAGATTTTTATGGAGATTGAACATATGTTGTGAAGACTGAACATATTTTTAACTAAATTATCTGGGAAGATACCGCTTATTTGTTTGCAGTGATCACATCAGAACACTCAAATAATCTTAATTTATACTAAGAGCTAAATGCATACAAATGTCCCTTTACTATGTATAACCATAATAGTATCTGGCTGAATTCTGATTAACAGACCTCGATTATATGCTAACAAAAGAGATTTGCTTTCAAGTTCTGTTCTTATTTTGTCTTACTGTTTTTTCTATTACAGATTGAGGAGAATTCTTCATTAGAACTGATGTTAATAGAAAACTATAATTCATTAATGGAGGAAATGAACAGCTGGAATTTTCAAATATTTGATCTTGTTCAAAAAATGGGAGATAAATCTAGAACAATCCTTAGCCAGGTTTGTTGCTACTGTAGAAATTCCATATATTTTATTTGAATACTTCTAACCGTACACATATGAACATTTTGAAAGCTGTTTTCTCTCTGCATAAGTACATACAAACTTCGATATAAATAAGTAGCACATTTGCAAACAAACATACCTGTTTTCCAGATTGAACCATGTTTTTCCTCAAATAGCTCCATGTGAATGGGGAGAAAGTGAGTATAGATAAGAATGAAAGAAGCTGTTGAAAACTGTTATTGGCATAGGGTGGAAATGACTGTAAGCTGGCCTTACAAATCTTTCTGCTGTTTCTGCTGTATGTGTTGTATGTGCATTTGTATGTTTCTATAGTAGAGAGAATAGTTAATATATGCACTTATGGATCAGTTGAATTTGTAAATCAATTAAGTTAATTAATCAAAGATATTTCATCTGAGATATATCTCAGATTTGCTCTTTTTGTATGTATACAGGCATATACATATATAGATGTGACACTTGTACAGATTTAGCAGGTGGGAAGAAAATCTCAAGGGTTGGGTAAAGCTGGATTTAGCAAATTTATATTATATTAGCATTTGACAAAACCCATTAATGGTTTCAGTGCTACAATTTATATAAGGTGATTCCTCACTTTTGTTAAGACCCCTTTCTACCCCCTTTGCATTACAGATTGTTCAGGCTGAGGAGTTCTTGGTTATTAATCCTTGGTAGGGCAGAGGATTGCCAGAAAGAGACACGGGGGGGAGGGGGGGAACCAACATTCAAACTCAAAGGATCTTAAAAAATGGAAATGTTTTTCACAGTGTTTTAATATGTGTCTATTGTGTGTTTAGGTTGCATTTACATTGTTTCAAGACACTGGTTTATTCGAAATTTTCAAAATTCCAATTCAGCATTTCATGAACTACTTTCAAGCACTCGAAAATGGTTATCGAGACATTCCTTGTGAGTAATAGTTGACAAAATTAGGCTAATTTATTAGATTATATTTGTAAGGAACTATTAACGTAATTTAGTAGAGTTTTATTTCTGTTTCTTTTATTCTTTCTCAATCTTACTAATTACGTGATAACAATAGATTTTATAAAGTAATAATAAGAAAAATAGATAAAACCAAATGTCTGTAAGGCTTTGCTAATCTAAAAAAATATTAAGGAGATATGAATTAAATTCTTGATGAGCCTATGGCAACTAGACTTTTTTTCTCTTTGAAATGTTTTGCTACTTATCCAAGTTGCTTCTTCAGACTGATAAGCAGTGAAACATTTAAAAATAATAATAAAAAAAGAAATCCAGTTGCCATAACTTCCAGACAATTCTACTGGATGATTGAGAATCTTCATTGACACATTGAGCCTAGTGAAAAGTCTCATTGAATCCCCGTGCGATTAAGCTGTGGATTTGAAATTCTGCTGGTCTATGAACTGATGAAGAACTGGCACGCAAATTGTTTAATGCAAGTGGGGAATATAGCTATCTTTGCCTCTGTCTTGTGTTTCCTTGGGTTATTGAGTCTTCATATGTAATGGCAAGGTTACATTTAATAAAAACTGTATTTTTTTAGATCACAATCGAATACATGCAACAGATGTTCTTCATGCCGTATGGTATCTTACAACGAGACCAATTCCCGGATTTCAGCAAATAGACAGTGACTCTGGGGGAGGAACCAGCAGGGGTAAGTCTGTGGTGTTATTCCACAAGGACGCTTGTGTCTGATAGAGTGAAATGAATACACCTGAAGTAAATGTACACTTGTCTGAAGATTGCATGCTTGAAACTAAATTCAGTGGCATTTATAAACAATCAGATTTTAGGAAACTGATTGAATATTTGCTGACAGTCTTTACTTCTTAGCCAAGTAAACTGTTTTCATTTGGAACCCTTCTCCTGAATAAGGCCTATATTTTACTGCAGTGGTCAGCATGATTGGTCAGCATGTTTCCAACAACTAAAATATATTAGAGTAATATTTCTTTATTTAATTATTAAAGTAAATGCCTCAGACTAAAAATACTTGAAGTATTTAATTTAATTAGAGCTTTTTAAAATTATTCCCCTGGAAAAATGAAACAGCATTCAACATCCTGTTTCAATTAATATATACCTCCTTAGTACTTTCTGTTATTTTTAGCATCACATGAATTGAATGAATTGTTTAATATTATGTAAAATGAACCGTGATGCTAAGGTATATATATTTAATTTATATCACTTGTGCCTTCCCCCACTTGTGGTGGAAAGTTTTTCTCACTAGCTCAGATGTTGGTGTAATTTAGAGGACCTTTAAGAAAAGCTCTGCAGAATCAAAAGCTGTACTCTGATTGAGTCCTGACTGAGGGAATATTTAGAATAGAATAGAATAGAATAGAATAGAATAGAATAGAATAGAATAGAATAGAATAGAATAGAATAGAATAGAATAGAATAACAAAATTGGAAGGAACATTGGAGGTCTTCTAGTCCAATCCTCTGCTTAGGCAGGAAATCCTATACCATTTCAGATGAATGGTTGTCCAATATCTTCTTTAAAATTTCCAATGTTGGAACGTTCACAACTTCTGGAGGCAAGTTGTTCCACTGATTAATTCTTCTAAATGTCAGGAAATTCTTCTTAGTTCTAGGTTGCTTCTCTCCTTGATTAGTTTCCATCCGTTGCTTCTTGTCCTGCCTTCAGGTGCTTTGGAGAATAGCTTGACTCCCTCTTCTTTGTGGCAACCCCTGAGATATTGGAACACTGCTATCATGTCCCCCTTCGTCCTTCTCTTCATTAAACTAGACATACCCAATTACAGCAGCTGTTCCTTATATGTTTTAGCCTCCAGTCCCCTAATCATCTTTGTTGCTCTTCTATGCACTCTTTCTATCACAAGCCTTAGTTCATTTTGAGCCTTAGCTTTCCTCATTTCGTCTTTGCAGGTTTGGGCTATTTGCTGATATTCTGCCTTAGTTATGTGTCCCTCTTTCCACTTTTTATACTTGTCCTTTTTGTCTTTTAATTTATCAGAGAATTATTTATGCAATTTCCCAAGCTTCTTGAGTTGTTTTCCCCTTGAGGATTCTCCTCCATAGAATCCTTTCTAAGCTCTCTCTAAGTTTATTGAAATTAGCTCTCTTGAAGTCCAAGACTCTAGTTTGACTATGTTCTATTGCTTGTGCTTGCATAATGTTGAATTCCAATATTGCATGATCACTCCTTCCCACAGGTTCCTGTTAGTTCAACACTTTCTATCATTTTATCTCTGTTAGTGAGAATTAAGTCCAATATGGCTTATCCCCTAGTTCTCTTTTCTACTTTTTGGGAAACAAAGTTGTCTGCTAGGTTGTCAGGAACCTGTTTGATCTTCCACTTGGTGCAGAATTTGTCTCCCAGTTGATGTCAGGGTAGTTAAAGTCCCCCATTACTATTGTGATGTGCTTTCTACATACCTTAGTTAACTGATTAGCAAAAACTTCATCTATTTCTTCTGTTTGGTTAGGTGACCTATAATATACACCTATAGCAATGTCATTTCCCCCCTCCCTTTTATATTGACCCAAATGCATTCAAGACAGTTTTCATCATTGTTGTGCTCTATTTCTATAGAGGTGTATTTATTTCTTATATATATTTAGCAATTCCACCTCCTCTTTTATTTGGTCTGTTTCTTTTAAATAATTTAAATTTAACTGGATCCAGCACAGTGAGATCTATAGATTGCAAGATATGTTGAAAATGCTTATACAAATTCTGAATATTGTTAAAATGTTATTTTTATGCTTATTATTTTGGATATAGAAAATGATATTTCAGTGGGCCACATTGCCTATGTTTCCTCCAAAAGCTGTCCTGTTGTAGATGAAAACTATGGATATTTAGCATCAAATATTCCAGCCTTAGAATTAATGGCTTTATATGTAGCAGCAGCCATGCATGATTATGATCATCCTGGTCGGACAAACGCTTTTCTGGTAGCAACAAATGCTCCTCAGGTAGGATTGTTTTTTGTATAATATGAAATATCATATATGCTAATTATTAAATGTTAACATTATATAATCAGATTTCCAGCAATTCTGATATTTTAAGTTTTATACTGACAGAGCAGTATATTCAGTGCCTGTTCAAAGTTATGATGATGCTGAATAAGAGAGATTTATGACTGGTTTTTGAGGTTGTGGCCATTGCTGCATTCCCAAAGTCACGTGATTGCAATTTAGGCACTTGGCAAAAAGCTTGTAGTTATGACAATTGCAGCGTCCAACAGTTATGTGATCACCCTTTGGAGCTTTCCTTCTGGCTTCCCACAAGCAAAGTCAATGGGGAAGCCAGTAGGAAGTCACACTGCCAACCCAGTGATGAGATTAAGCAGCTCAGGAAGAGATGCCACTCTGCAGAAAGAGATGGTACAACAGCAGCAGTCCCAACTTTTTCCTGAGGAACAAGACCTCACACCCAGCTACTTGTGGAACAGTGTCTCTGTAGAGTTTCTGCATGATTGTTGCCACTTCTCTCCTCTCCTGCCATGGGCTTGCAGTTGAACCCAATCTTAGATGGCCACATTCAGAGAGGGGAAACACCTCTCTCTAAATCCATCCAAGTGTTGGTAATGCAAGCGAGCTTTGCCTTCTCATCTCTGATGAAATTGTAGATAAAGAGAAATTTATTACTGGCATTCAGCAGTTGCAGTTGGAGACCAAGGCCTCCAAGGGTCTGATAATCTAGTTTACAAAATGGGATAATGCATTTTGGGATAATGAATTTCAGAATTAATTATATGCAGCATGAAGGGTTTTTCTTGCTGCTGCTATAGTGGTGGTTTTAAATCTCTTTCCCATCAACTTAATTGGATGGTTCCTGGTCCTACAATTTTGAGAAAATAGGAAAATTTCTTCCTACCCACTTTCTCCATGCTATGTGATTTTATATGCCCTCCCTCAATCATTTTTCCAACTTCAGCAGCCCTAGATAATCTAGCTTTTCTTGGAGGAAAGGTATTTGAATTTCTTAAGCATTTTAATTTCAGATATGGCAACCAGAAGTGTATGAAATATTTCAGAGATAGATAGATGCCCATTTTTGTAAGAGCACTGCATTATCAATTGTTTTGTTTTCAATCCCTTTTCTAATGATTCCTATGATGAAATTTGCATTTTTCATAGCTTCTGCACATTCTGGTGACGTAATAATAATCCCATGAACTGGCTACTTATAGGCAACTCAGTTCCCATTAGAGTTTATGTGAGGTTAAGGCTCTCCCTACAACGTGCATCACACTACATTCACTTGAACTAAACAATTTATCATTTAGCTGGCCATCACCTTATTTAATGAAATCATTCTGGAACTCTTTCTGGTCTTTTTTTTGTTTTTGTTAAATCAAGCTGATTAATGTGTTATCATCCACAAAATTGCCAGCATGCTGCTTACTTCTAAATATAAACATACACTTTTGTGGTGAGTATGCTTTAAACATCATAATGCCTGTATCACTAATGTTTCCCATGACAATCAGGGTGTAATGTTGATTCTAAGAGGTTAGGAAAGGCACTTGGAAGTGTCGACAAGCTGTTTCATCTCATTCGAATGTAAGACCAGAGCCTCAACAATTCTTATATTCAAGAATCTTTTGAAAACTATGAGCCTTTGGTCCTTTGTCCATACAAGGTCCTTTGTCCATACAAGGGCAGAATAGCATTTATTGCATCAATCTCAGTAGGAAATAATCTGAACATCAGGAGGTCCATTAAATTTTTCCAATTTCAGATAATTTCTTGGAAGCCCAGGAGCAACTGAAATGAAATTTGCCCTGCTTCATGTATCAAGTTCATTGTCAGTGAAGTTTTGAAATCCTGATGTAATCTGATGACTTTAGGTATTTATTTTATATAGTCATCCATCTTATGCAACTTAACAGTTGCTGAGAGTGAGTTGGGTAGCCATATAAATGTCCTTAAATAAACAAATCAATAAAAACAGAAAAAACAGTTAAAAAAAAGCATAGAAACTCCTGGTGTCCCAAAGCAGACATGTCAAACTCGCGACATCACGTGACATCGCGCAACGTATCGGAGCTTTTTCGCCATTGCTGGCAATGGGATGGGCGCGGCTCTGGTATGATGAAACCGGCCCACGGGCTGGCAGTTTGACACCTCTGTCCCAAAGGAAACCCACACCCCACACAACCACAAAGAACTTTACTGGGCTCCATCCAGCTCAGAACTTTTGAGAAAAATCAGATCTTCAAGGCTTATTGGAAGGCTAGGAAGGTAAGGGATCAGATAGATCTGGGGGAAGGATATTCCAAATTTTATCACAAATGTTGGTCCTTTTATCCAAATTTAATCCTTTATATCCACATTCATGATGATACCATACTGGGACATTCAGCCTACAAAGCAACCTGTGCAGCAGCATGAGCAGTGACATTTCTTATACCCTTCAACATGCCATTTGACCCATTAAATCATCACTAGAGGTAAAGCACCAAAGTTGCTTGGTGAAACAGGTATAATTATTACGGATTGCCCTGTCTCCACAATATAGTTACACACGTGACGTTACACACACTTTGCACTGTGAATCAGATACTAAGATAGCCAGATCATAGAAGAGGACTGTAGTTCTTTTAGCGCTTTTTTCACTCTATAATATTGTTTAGCTCTTCTCTTTTTCATCAAAAACCTGTGCTTTGAAGATTTAACTTTAAGCTTCTCGCTCCCTGCTTCAGCTTTTCCCTCTCTTTTCAACAAAGTGGAGAAGAATGACTGAGTAGATGCTTCTGTGGTTTATTTGAACATGGTTCTTCCTTAAGAGCAGTGCTTTTTTTGAAAAAAAAAAAAAAAAGATGCCGGAACTCACACGTCATACAACCCGCCTTGCCTACCCTACAAGGTTTCATCAAAAAAAGGTGCCGGAACTCCGTTCTGGGCGTTCTATGACAAAAAAAAACCCTGCTTAAGAGTAGGAAATTGAACTTAGTCTATACTTGCTGGAGCCAACTCAAGTGGTGTTTTTATTTAGAGATTTATATTTGATTGCTTAGCATTAGCATAATACTTCCCATAAAGAAGTAACCATTGTATTCAATTTCTCAATGATAACATGAATTGGCTATTTACAGTTTTGTGAAATTTAACTCTTTAAAATATTTGTACTAATTATTTTTCAGGCTGTGTTGTACAATGATAGATCAGTTTTAGAAAATCATCATGCAGCCTCTGCATGGAGTCTCTTCTTATCTCTACCGGAATACAATTTTCTGTCTAATCTTGACCATGTGCAGTTCAAACGATTTCGATTCTTAGTGATTGAAGCAATCCTTGCGACAGATCTCAAGAAACATTTTGATTTTCTTGCTGAATTTAATGCCAAGGTTTGTTGTTCTACTTAATATCATTATTCATTATATTTATAGAAATGTATAGAAATATACAATACGCCTGTATGTTATATGGTTTAAGCTGTATTGTACATGGTTTATTTAAATATTTAGTTATTTATGTTCTTTACAACACATAAAGAAAAGGTTTATAAATAAATGACAAATTCAGAACAAAGTTAAATTAATCAAACCCAAATATAACCAAATTGTTACACACGTAAATCTTATGCTTAATCTGCATAAGGACCAATAACATTCACATTTTAGCCATGTATAAATATGTTTTGAATGGCTTTTTAATGTGTTACATTAGGTTAAGTTGAAAAAGTTGGTAATTCCTTACCAAGCTGTCACATACTTTATTTGTTCCTATACATTGCATTAAGAATCCCTTGCACATAGAACAATATAAAATCAGGAAGAAAAGTAGTCCTACTGTGAGTAGAACAAACCTCACCTGTTTGGGTAATCACTGCGAGGAGGGTCCGGATGGATGTCACAGCAATTCCTCTGTGGTGATCTTCCCAATCCATTGGTACTTCCTAGAATGGTGCAGGTAGCTTTTCATACACTTGCTTTAAAAGGGTCAAATTAGGTCATCAGTTCTATCTCTTTTCAGAAATTTCTATCTCCTTCTATAGCCAGCAAACTTTGGCTTCACTTAAGACTGTGATGCCAACTACATCATCTCCCTCTACATATTATTGCATGATGCATTTTTATATGTCCTAGGTCAGAGGTCCCCAACCTTTTGGGCACCAGGGACCAGTTCCATGGAGAAAGGTTTTTCCACGGACCGGAGAGTGTGCTGCCTGCATCTCACAGATGGGGCTTTGCTTGTTTGTGCAGACTGGTTGTTGGCATGCCGTGGCCCGGTACCTGTCCATGGCCCGGGGGTTGGGGACGCATGCCCTAGGTCATAGATTGCATATTTCACATTATTGTTATTTGGGGGAATGATAGACTCTCCATTTGGAAAGAGTAGTTACTTTTAGCTGAGGAGAGAAACTAGTCAAATCATACAGTCCTGTATTGTATACAAATTTCCCCTTGTATAACAACTCTTTCTAGGCCATATCCTAAATTTCTTGGCTATTATATACCAATTCACTTTGACATGCCAAATTCATAGTTACTGAACAAATTTAGTGGATTACAAATGTGTTCATCTCTCAGAATAGAAACAAAGAACAAAGATAACCAATAGAAAAGGGAAAGCGCAAGCGCAAATTTATTGTGATTTTGCTTTTCTAATTCATTTAATCAGACATATAAATTATAATCTAGAGACAAGATCATTAGTGATATCAGGGGAAATGAAATTCTGAAGTTACAGATAATGATAATGAAATCTTAATAATTACCCATTGACCAAGCAGTTGTTTGGAGTGACAAATATTTATGCACCGGGGATTTGATTAAGATTTTTATGGCCTCAGTTCAATTAATTATCAGAAAGATGTTGAACCTTTTAACAGATTCTTGCTCAGACAAATTCTCTTCACAGAAATTGGCAGTTTAATTATTTGTGAGCTACGTGGTATATCAGTGATAACCTCCACTTGTTTTGGAGTAATCCAAATTCTAGACTAATATATTGCTCTATCAGAGAGCCAGTTTGTTCTTTTATTTTTTTTATATACTATAGTGACCGGCTAATTTATTCTATGTAAAATGTGGTAAGCAAATAATATATATCACACTGGAAGAGGTAGAGATATATAGATTTTTGATCTATGTATGATATCAGTGAGTTCTGTAACAGGATCCACCTGATTGATAGTAGGAAAAACACTGAGATCAGTTTCTTATTGTGATTGTGATACCTTTTAGAAGTTTTAACTGAGAACTATTAGCAGGATCTGTTTTGTAGTAGATTTTCATGATGCTAATTCATGTGTGTTTATTTTATTATTATTTTAATTTCCTGGGTGAGTTTTGCAGTTTAAGAAATGCCTAATCTAAATCCTTGTTAAATTGTTAAAAGTGTATGATGAAGCAGAGTATAGTTGATTGTACCATACGATTTGTTTTTAAATGGTGGATTTCATAATTGCTCTGAGTGGAAGCTGGAAATTATATATGTGTGTACATTGTAAAGTGTTCAGTTTATTCATTCCATCATGAGATGGAAGTCTTGATCCAGTGCCTGGAAGTGTGAAAGATTAGATGGGAAGGAACAGATTCAGAATGAATTGTAGCAAGATGAAAGTGCTGTTTTTGCATAGGCCCTCTGCTAATAGGTTAGTTCCAGTGGTGGGATTCAAATATGTGAACAAGCGGTTCTCTGTGTGGATGCCACTTCCGGGCCTGGGCAACAAAAAATTAGCTACCGGTTCTGCCGAAGTGGTGCGAATCCCACCATCGGTTAGTTCCATCTTTAGTTCTTGACAAGGTGACCCTCCATCAGGTTTTCCTAGATTTGTGGCTTCTGCTAAAGCAGCAGGAATAGGTCATGGCCAGAAGACACATTGGCCTAGTGCACCAATTACAACCTTTCCTAGGTCAGGAGATGTTATAGTCTATAATGAATTATGACCTTTCATCTCTCAGTTAGACTACTATAATTTGCTTTACATAGGACTATTCTTTGAACATTACTTGAAAGTTACAGCATGAATTAAACATAGTCCCTTACTTTCAGACTTATTGAAACCATTATCTCAGTACTGTGGAGGCGACATTGTTGCTTTGAGTTCTGAGCCCATTTCAGTATGCAGATATTACTTAAAATATCCTTAATAGCTCAGTTTGGGGGGGGGTCTCTCCTCCAGATAGGATCCGCCTGCCCAATTCAGGCCAGTGAAGTAGTCATACTGAGTATTCTTATGCCTGGAAAAAGTGTATTTTTTGTTTCTTGAGGTCAAGCTGGTCCTTTCTTTGCTCTTATTCAGGAAATCAATTAAGATTTATGCCTCCTCCATAAGATTCCTTGAGGGGTGGTTGTCAGGTAACTGAACATTAATAAATTTCAGTGCATTGTGGGTTTTTAATTATTTGCTGAATTCAGTGAGTTTTTTTCTGCAAGTATTTAGTGCAAAATGCTAGACAGAAGCAAGGAGGTATATATCAACATCAAAATTCTTTAAAAATACTAGATGATAGATAGATAGATAGACAGACAGACAGACAGACAGACAGACAGACAGACAGACAGACAGACAGACAGACAGACAGACAGACAGACAGAAAGAAAGAAAGAGATGGATATAGGCAGACAGACAGAAGACAGACAGGAGTTAGTTCAGTTTCTTGGAAGTAAGCCATATATCTAGGAGTTAGTTCAAATTGCACAAGAATACTGCAGAATATATCAACAAATTAAACTGTGCTTTATATAAGAAATTCCTGAAGTTTTAAATTTATGTATTAAAAGGTATGAAAGGATTGAAGAAAACATTTAGTTTATGCCTTTGTCTCCCTTCTAAATAGGTAAACATGAATGGGCATGGTATTGAATGGAGCAATGAGAGCGATCGACTGTTAATATGTCAGATATGCATCAAGCTTGCAGATATCAATGGTCCAGCTAAAGTTAGGAATCTACACCTGAAATGGACAGAGGGAATTATTAATGAATTTTATGAACAGGTAAACCTTCTGTAAGCAGAACATATATGAGAAAATAATGCAAATAACCTTGTACATGGAATGATTTTATGCATAAAATTGAATCTTAAAATATTTAAGTGTATGCTTTTACAGAGGGATCTAAAATCATGCCAAAAGCTGGAATGTAAGTAATACAAAGCCTGCAGGCTGCATATTCCTATATTAGACTGTTATTTATGGGAAGATACGTTGATCATAAAATGTGTCCATCTTTTATATCCTATTTCATTTGTTTAGAAAGTGCCTAAGTGTAATGTAATTTTAAAGCAAAGACCTAGTTATTTTTGCTCTTTGCAACACTAGATATGATTATGGGAAGAAGTCCCCCTTTTTTCTTCTAGTTTTCTGTCCAATCTGTTCTAAATATTTTGTATGTATACATTTCCAGGGAGATGAAGAAGCAAACCTGGGGCTACCTATTAGCCCTTTTATGAACCGACATTCTCCTCAACTTGCCAAATTACAAGAATCTTTTATTACCGACATTGTTGGTCCTCTTTGCAATTCTTATGATGCAGCCGGCTTGCTTCCAGGCCAATGGATTGAAAAAGATGAGAGGGAAAGCTCTGACGATTGTGATGCGGGAGAGGATAGTGAAGAGGAAATGGAAGATTTAGGAACAAGTAAGAGCAAATGCAGTTTTGAACAATTTGATTTCAGTTACAGGTACTGTAGTCCTTGACTTACGAACATAATTGAGCCCAAAATTTTGGTTGCTACGTGAGACATTTGTTAAGTGAATTTTGTCCCATTTTACAACCTTTCTTGCCTCGATTGTTAAGTGAGTCACTGCAGTTGTTAAGTTAGTGACACGGTTGTTAAGTGAATCTGGCTTCCCCATTGACTTTGCTTGTCGGATGGTTGCAAAAGGTGATCACGTGATCCCAGGACACTGCAACCATCATAAATATGAAGTTGCCAAGCATCTGAATTTTGATCATGTGACCATAGGGATGCTGCAATGGTCGCAAGTGTGAAAAATGGTCATAAGTCACTTTTTGCAGTGCCTTTGTAACTTTGAACAGTCCCTAAATGCACTGCTGTAAGTCAAGGACTGCCTGGACTTCTGTAAAAGAAGATATTGCAATAGAATGTCCACCGTTATGCATTATCTAGGAAGCTTCCTTTTTTCTGAATATTTTCTTCCATAACTTCCAAATGATAAAGGCCTTTTTTTCCCCTCTACCCTTTTCTTTTCTTTAAACAGGACATAAATTGAACATATGGTTCATTTACTAAATAAGTGTTATTTATTTGAAGTGAGTTTGGAATATTTTTTTTTTGCAGAATTACAAAGAAGAAAAAACGGGCAGCGCGTATTTAGTCAACTAATATACCATTTGAACGAAAACCATAAACTATGGAAGAAAATAATTGAAGAAGAGGAACTAAGTAAACCAGAAGAAAACGAACGTTCAGGAAATACCTCCTTATGTCAGACAGATGAGATTCAGGTTATTGAGGAAGCAGATGAAGAAGATGAACGACATTAAGAACAAGAAGAAATACTTTTGAAAGACTTCATAACAGCGCCCTAGACTGCTCCAAGAATATACTTTTATCCAAAATGCTGGCTGTAAACTGACAGACTTGAGAGAAGTATGAAAAATAGTATACTGAATAATGTGAAAGGACATTTATTTCTTCAGCATTATCACACTTCTATGCACTTTTGCCATATGGAAATAAAAAAAAAAAGACTTTATTCATAGACTGACTGAACACAGTACTGCATTCCATGATGAGAAGATTTTATGTCCAGCTTGGTCTTCAAGTATCTTTGTTTTGCTGCCTTCCTAAAAGTAACTTTTTATTATCAAAATGGAATTAACAGTTTGGAGAAAAATCAATCTGAAATACCCAAGTTACAAGGACATTCTGTTTTATAGAAGCTCTCGAGACAAAGACCTGTAATGTTTTAGAATTGGTATTTTGTTTTTAATGCGAATCTTAAAATCACTGTGCCTGTCAATAAGCAGTTTCCATCAATTTAATTTGCAAGAGTTTGATTAATGAAGTTATTGGATTGATTTAACCATTAGATGACTGCAATCAGATTTGCCGGTCCTTATGGTTAAAACTGAATTTCTTCTGCATCTGTTTGATGCTTTTGTTTTTATTGTGGTAAATAGCCTGCCATTTTATTTTTCTAAAAATGTACAGGTTTCCAATGAGTATTCAGGCTAATTTGCTAAATATACCCCTGTTGCCTTTTTTTTCATTGTTCTGTAATAGAACATACAAGTTATTTAACTATTTTAATAATTACAGGATTTTATTCTTTTAATCAATGTTGTAAATATGTTCCACTCTTTCTCAGGATTCATGTTTAAAATTTTTAGATTTTTTAAAGATTTTATATTTACAGACTTAGGCTAATGCTAGATGCTCATTAAAAATATTGACTTTCACTCTGTATGTAATCTTCATAAAAAATTAAAAGATGGTTTTGTATAAACATTCTAAACTCAATTTTAGTCACTTTACATGGTATCTATCTAACATATCAGAAATATTATTGAATGAACTTTAATAGAACAAGCTTAAAAACATTACTATATTCTCATAAAATCAGTTACCTGGTCTATTTTATGTTGACTCAGTTTCACTTTCACTTTTTATAAAATATCTATTTGTACCTGGATGGGGCAGGTATATCTATTGTTGTTCCTGAATTGTATTCTTAATTGCAGCCAAACTGTTTTATTTCATCTGAGGCTAATAGGAAATTAGCGATTACTTTTTTCTTTTTTTCTTTTTCAAGGGAGTAATACTTGACAGCACAACCCAAAATCACAAGGGAACCAGGTGATCAGTGCTGGTTTGAAATCACCTTATGTTTCCTAGAAAAATTTGTGAGATGCACAATTAGGTGAAGTCTTGATACTTAATACACCACTAATAGTATGCAGACACAATAACCTGTACATAAACAAGATAGGAGAGGCAATCTGATATAGTGGTTAGGGCATAAAACTAGAAAGTGGAATACTATGAGTTAACAATAACAATAATAGAGTTGGAAGGGACCTTGGAGGTCTTCTAGTCTAACCCCCTATTCAGGCAGGAAACGCTTATATCATTTCAGACAAATGGTTCTCTAGTCTCTTCTTAAAAACTTCCAGTGTTGGAGCATTCACAGCTTCTGAAAGCAGGTTGTTCCACTGATTAATTGTTCTGTCAGGAAATTTCTCCTTAGTTCTAGGTTGCTTCTCTCTTGATTAGTTTCCATCCATTGCTTCTTGTCCTGCCTTCAGGTACTTTGGAGAATAGCTTGACTCCCTCTTCTTTGTCCCCCTTAGTTCTAGTCCCCCTTAGTCATAGAATGGAAAACCACATCTGAAAATCTTGCTAAGAACACTGCACGCATTTGTCAGGCAATCTCCAAGAGTTAACAGTGACTTGAAAGCATCAGGGAAAAAAAAAGAGGTAGGCAATATCCCTCAATTACTGAATCTATGTATCTGAGAGGCAAAATATAGAGTTACCTATGCCTTTCCTCCCACATGCCCAGTGCTGGTGGAAATGTGCTGGTGTCTTGGAAAGACAGAAAAATTTCCTCCATAGAGCATTGCCGGAGGTGAGCAGTAAAAAAAAAAAAAGGCTTATCATTGAATCTCAGCTGCTGTAACTGGATGTTAGGAGACTAGAAATGAGAGTTGGGAGAAAAGTGCTGGGAAAAATGGTTTAAGGACTTAAAGAAGAAAAGAAATGCTAAAAAGAAGCAAAAAGCCAAGAAGGTTTAACATCAAAAGTAGAGCAGCAGCAATGGTGCCAAAACTATAAGCTACCACCAGGACCTCTGAGGGCCTCTGGCCCTTCCTAAGTAATCCAAGTGAGCAAAAGTTACCCAGCCAATTTTCTTTTCTGACATAGAAATACAAGTCTCTCTCCAACTGATTTTTTTTATTCAGAATTAGGCCTTGTTTGCATTAAATTGATTAATCAAGGGTTGCATTACCCTAACGCATCTCTCAAAAACAACAGTAGTTAAGGTATTGTCTGGAATAGACTATATTCTGTATTATAGCACAGGTATACAACTGAGGGCTGGTTTTAGCTGCTTAAATTTAGTCCAGCACTTCTCAGACCACACCATCTTCAGTTTGTTGTCCTTGGTTAGATCCGACCTGAATGCTGAATTTCACTATATTTGAGCATAAACTCAGTAGTAATTGGCAAGCTCAAAGAATTGAGCGACCATATATTTGGGAATGTTGTAGCTATCCTCCTTTTGCACATTACTTTATTAGAAAATTATTGAGAAACAAAGGGAAAAATCTTTTGCTTTAAAGGGACTCTGCCATTTCAAACTAAAGAAAGAGCCACTGATATTTCCCATTATGAACATGGGATACTGTCCTCCATTCCATTCTTGACCTTTGATATTAAACCAGTTCATCTGCTCTTGTCTTTTTCCATGCGGTAACAATTCAACTGATTCTTCCTTTCTTAATCCATTAAAACTTCAGCACCTTTCTGACTGGGATTCTGGAGCATGCTTCAAGTAAAACCATCAGTGATACTGGGTCAAAAGTCAAAGGGTTGAAAGGCATAGAACCATGAGATTGCAGAAAAATGCTTCTTAGCAGTCATGATTTGTTTGGGATTTATAGTTGTTGTTAAGTATAGCACTATGGACTCAACTGATGTAAAGCAGAGGCTTTGAAGCCTGGGTTAGGGTAAAGCTGGCCATTGGAAATGATCTAGTACTTGAGACATTGTCTGTCCCCCACCCATATGTTTTAGCAACCAGTTGCTAGATCTATTGCTTCATTCCCTAAAATTGTCTATTTGAACCCTCATCTGGTTTGCTTTTCTTTAAGAGGGGGAGGACAAATGCAGAACTTTTTGGCAACCTTAGAAATTTCATCTCTGCGAACCTCCCTTGGCTAGAAAAAAATATCTTGCAAGTCTTATCTGCCTGCCAAAGACAGTGGTTTCCTATTTCCCTAATAGGTGTCCCTAAATAGTTCACCTATTTCCTTATTGCAACTTGGGTATATCATCCTTTTCCCTGTAGAAAAGGCCATTTTTTCAGTTCAAGGCTCCATGAATTTCAACAAGTATAAAACCATTTTAGCTCTTATGTTCAGGATCTCCATCTTTATTGTGCTGCCTTCCAGTTTTTAGTTATGCCTCAGTGTGGACTTCAGCCACCTCGACCTATTTGTAGAGAGGGAAGATGTTGGCAGCCACAGCTGACATCTCATATATGGAGGAAGGCAGGGCTTCCCATCCATGTCATCTACTAGAGACTAAAATATATGTCTACAATAATAGTGGGAACAGATTATGTTCAATTCCAGATGCACTATACTTTCTCTGTTCTCTGTTCCAGGCTCCCTTCATGGTTTCCAGAACATTTTGAATCCCTATAGAGCAGGGGTGTCAAACTGCCGGCCTGCGGGCTGGATGCATCATAGCGAAACCGTGCTCACCCCATTTCTGGCAATAGCCCTGAGTCCTGTAAGGGAGATAGGGCGGTATATAAATAATAATAATAATAATAATAATAATAATAATAATAATAATAATAATAATAATAATAATAATAATAATAATAATAATAATAATAATAATAATAATAATAATAATAGCAAAAAAGTTGCAATACGTTGCAACACGTCATGTGTCGTTGCGAATTTGACACTCCTGCTATAGAGGATTGCACTATTTTCTCACACTAATTTCTGAAGGGCTTCTAAAACCCATCTCCACCTCATATTTCTAGTCTAGATTGATTATTTTCCAAATTACTAATAATTATTTTCACTTAAAACCTAATAAATCATAACTGAGCTGAAATCAAATTGAATGGAATCAGATTTCTTTCTGGCTCTTATAGAGTTGATTCTAGGGACTCTGCTGGAAATATTTTAAATATACTTTAAAATACTAAAAAATCCTTTTGCCAAAGAAATGACAACCATATATTTGTGTCCTAAAGAATGGCTTAATTTACCTTGATTTCACAGAATATTTTTGTTTAAAATGAATTTTGCAAATTTTTTCAATAAAGTATTTTAAAAGATAAATAATTTGTCTGATATTCAGCATACAGTAGATATCATAGTACCATTATTTTTTACTTTTCATGATTTTTAACATGTCTTTTATTTCTATGTGGCCTAAATGTTGAAATCATAATTATTATTGACTTATATTTGATTTGTAAGAGGAGCAGTTGATAAAGTGATAAAGTATGATGTATTTGGTTCTTTCACTTGGGTTCTCAAGACGATTGAACTGCAAACCCCACTGGAATTCATGCTGCAGTAAACGTCAACTTTGGATATTTATCTATTAGATTTGGTGCCTTTCTTTCAGGAATTAAGGGCACTGGACATATGCCTCCTTCTATGTTTGCCCACAATAATCCTTTGACATGAGTTGGAGTGGAAGAAAGAAACTACCAAAAGGTTAGTAGGGTAGTCCAGAAGCGGACTCTCCCCAGTCCTAGAACAACTTCTGAATCAGTATATCACAGTAGCTCTTAAGTTTGTTGGCACTGTTTATGAAACTTCCATAAGGAGGCCATCATTGAGCAGAAAGACTGTTTTTGCTTATTCACAAAGTTGGCAAGTGTGTCCCTGAGTCACTTGTGTTCCTCAAGGCTAACATGACACATCCAGGAGTAACAAGAACAGTGTGTCACTCAAACTTACTTCAGGCAGAGAATTTTAACCACAATTTGAAACCATGGCTTGTTTTAAGGGTTACCTATTGCAACATAGGTTTGTGTGCTGTCTCAGAAAGTACAAAAATGTGAAACCCCCCATTGCTCTTGGATAGGTACCATACCACCCACCGTCCATGGCCAAATTCCTGCAAAGAAAAAAACTAGGTTTTCTTTATCTCATCTGGTGAGACTCTACCTCCACTTGGCTCTCAACCTCCAAAACATACAAAAATAAAAGTACGATGAAAGGATCAGCTGGTGAGCCACTAAAAGGAATGCTAGGCTAGTGACTGGAGAAGAAAACAAAGAAGTGTGGTTTTCCAGATTTTCTGCTGGGCTTCCATAGATAGGTTTCTCACCCATGACCCTTGTGAACCACACACAAGCACATTATATATATATATTCATTCATTAAGTGTTTATATTGCTAATGACTTTAGTCTCCTAATGGTCAGTTGTACAATATAAGTAAACAATATCAATTAAAATGAATAAAAAAAGTTAAAATCATCATGTTTGTTTTGAAAAAGTTTTAAGCACCTTTTAAATGCCTACAAAGCTTTTTAAGATTTCATGACTTAAGTTCAAGCTTGCAATACATTTTGTCAATCGGAAGTATCACCAATCCTATTTCCAACTGAACTATTCCAAAAGCTGGGGAAAAGTACTGAAACTATTTTAATGAAAACTCACTAAAGGGCAACAGTTTGCACTTATGGAGGAATAAATGAAAGTAT